GTCGAGACAGTGTGTGACTGCAATAAAAAAGGCCAATGTTATGCTGGGGCTTATTAGGAAGGGTATTGAAAACAGATCATCCGATATCATAATGCCCCTATATAAATCAGTGGTGCAACCTCATTTGCAATACTGTGTACAGTTCTGGTCACCACACCTTAAAAAGGATATTATAGCTTTGGGAAAAGTGCAGAGAAGGACAAGTAGAATGATAAAAGGAACACTTTCCCTATGAGGAAAGGTTAAAGCACTTGGGGCTCTTTAGCTTGGAGAAACGACGGCTGAGGGGTGACATGATCGAGGTTTATAAGATTATGCATGGGATAGAGCAGGTAGAGAAAGAGGTACTTTTCTCCCTTTCTCACAATATAAGATCTCGTGGGCAGTCAATGAAATTGCTGAGCGGTTGGGTCAGAACAGATGAACGGAAGTCCTTCTTCACCCAAAGAGTGATTAACACATGGAATTCACGGCCACAGGAGGTGGTGGCGGCTACAAGCATGGACGGCTTCAAAAGGGAATTAGATAAGCATATGGAGCAAAGGTCCACTGCAAACTTTCTTTGGGAATTACTGGTTAAGGGTGGGAGGGTTGACACACAGGAGATTGTTTTGCTTGACTCCTTTCTAGGGGAGGGGCTGTGGCTCAGTGGCAGAGCCTCTGCTTGGCATGCTGAAGGTCCCAGGTTCAATCCCCGGCACCTCCAGTTTTGAAAGGACCAGACAGAAGGCTTCAGAGAGCCAGTGTGGTATAGTGGTGAAGTGCGCGGACTCTAATCTGGGATTCCCCACTCCTCCACATGCAGCTGCTAGAAGACCTTGGGCAAGCCATAGTTCTCTCAGAGCTGTCCTTGAAAAAGAGCAGTTTGTGTCAAGAGCTCTCTCTGTTAGGTCTACAGTCTGTTCTGTGGAGTGTAGTTATAGTAATTTATTCAGTTAGGTCCTTGTTGTTTTATAAAGTAGCTTATATGAACCTTTTTTTAATTATGGGGGGGTGAGGGGAACCCGGGGGATTGTTGAAGTTATTTTTAATGTAAATTTTTCATATTTTTAAAATTAAAAAAGGGGGGGAAAAGAGCTCTCTCAGCCCCACCAACCTCACGGGGTGTCTGTTGTGGGGAGGGGGAGGGGAAAGGAGTCTGCAAACTGCTCTGAGACTCCAAGTGGAGGGCAGAGTATAATCCAATCTTCTTCTCCTCCTCCTGGAGACCCTGGAGGACTGCTGCCTCCTTGAGAAGACAATACTGATTCAGTCTGAGGCAGCTTTGTGTGTGTGTGTGTGTGTGTGTGTTCCTGTAGTCCACTGCTTAGATGGAAATAGGGTAGTTTCTCCCAAACACCAGCTGCAGGTGTTGGGGGATGTCTGTCCAGCATGACATGCTTGTATTTCATTCACCAGCAAAGCTGCATCGGATGCCCGCCGCTCCTAGCCCGCCGGATACCATTTCAGGCTCCTCGGACACCGGTCCCTGCCCCCAAGTCTGGATTAGAAATGGTGGACGGTGCTACTTTTTCTCTAGTGCTGAGAAGACTTGGGACGCCAGCCAGACCAATTGCTCTACCCAGGGAGGTTTCCTGGTGGCCATGGATACTCCGGAGGAAAGGGTGAGAGGGCCGGACACGTATTGTCGAGTGAATCCGATTCCCTATAAAGTCCCTGTGATTCCTTTTGAGGCCATGGAACTGGCACAGCTCTGTTTCCCCAGTGGAGGTGGAGCAGAAACAAAGAGAACAAGCCCCCCCCCCCCAATGGACGATTTGGCTTCTGCCAAAGTCCCACCTGGCATTGGGAGTCATCCATCCCTCTCTGTCCTCCTGTGTTGGAGAAGACCTGCTGGACCCCTGCCATTCTAGAAAACCCTGTTCAGTGGTCAGGAGCACTTTCCAAATAGAGCAGTGTTAGGATTCAAGCCTGGCGGCCACCATGCTTCTCCCTAAACCTTCCAGGCTGGGGTGTTGGGCTGCCCTCAGAGACTGGAAAACAAAAGCCATGGGTGCTCTCGTGAATGGGGAGGGGCAATAAATGGACTGGATAGATGCCAGAGACCAGCCTCCCCTTTTCCCAACCTTTAATTTCAGCAAAGAGAGTTCTTATTCCTCTCCCTTTCCTATTGGGGAAACTGTGGTTGGGTGACAGAGCATCTGCTCGGCATGCAGAGTGTCCCAGGTTCAATCCCCGGCATCTGTTACAAGGACCAGGCAGGAGGTGATGGGAACGACCTCAGCCTGAGACCCTGGAGAGCTGTAAAGAGGGGCTGTGGCTCAGTGGCAGAGCCTCTGCTCGGCATGTAGAAGGCTGCAGGTTCAATCCCCGGCATCTCCAGTTAAAAAGGACCAGGCAGGAGGTGATGGGAAAGACCTCCGCCTGAGACCCTGGAGAGCTGTAAAGAGGGGCTGTGGCTCAGTGGCAGAGCCTCTGCTCAGCATGCAGAAGGTCCCAGGTTCAATCCCTGGTGGCATCTCCAATTAAAAAGGACCAGGCAGGAGGTGATGGGAAAGACCTCCGCCTGAGACCCTGGAGAGCTGTAAAGAGGGGCCGTGGCTCAGAGCCTCTGCTTGGCATGCAGAAGGCCCCAGGTTCAATCCCCGGCATTATCCTGTTACAAGGACCAGGCAGGAGGTGATGTGAAAGACCTCTCTGCCTGAGACCCTGGAGAGCTGTAAAGAGGTGCAGTGGCTCAGTGGCAGAGCCTCTGCTTGGCATGCAGGAGGTCCCAAGTTCAATCCCTGGTGGCATCTCCTGTTAAAAAGACCAGGCAGGAGGTGTGATGGGAAAGATCTCTGCCTGAGACCCTGGAAAGCCATTGCCAGTCAGGGTTGATATGACATCTTGCTAGATCAAAGGTCTGACGGTTTCAAGCGTTCAGTACAGAAGATCCTCAGCATCTGATTAAATTGCTAACTCCCCAGGTTGTTGTGGGTTTCCTTTCATGGACTTGTCGAACACTTAAAATAACAAATGGGTGTAACGACATCAGACTTTTCAAATTTGACAGTGGGTGTTTGACAATGTACAGAGAGCCAGTTGGGATGTGTTAGTAGGGGGAGCAGAGGACAAAATTCCTTCATCTGTCGGATTAAATGTGGGTGATGGAGATTGTGTGGTTTTTTTTAAGGACTTTGTTTTTGGCTCTCAACCTCCTACTTATTTCTGGCTTGATGCCTGTAAAGAAGACGTAGGAAAGCCCTGGAAACGGGCCGATGGATCCCTCTTCAACAACACGTGAGTCTCCTTTGAGCACTAGGCCAGGACCTTGAGGCTGGGGGGGGGGGTTAGGTCACAAGTAAAGGAACATTTACAAATACATTGTTAAAAAAATTATTGGTGATATTTACTTGCTTGAAAGTACAGCTGAGATCTGATACCGTGCATTTTTCTTGCAGATAGCGAAATACCTTTTTGTTTCCATGTAATGAAATAATCAGAATATTAAAGAATCAATGAACAGATCTTAGATTAACTTATTATGCCACCTCATCGAGGCACTGCACAAATAGAATCTTCTTAAATTATAAATAAAAAAGCAAGGCAGGGACATCAAAACAGCAAAAGACGAACCCCAGGCTAAAGGATTACACCCCCTAATTAAACCTGGATTGAAAAAGTGTTGGCTTGGCATCTAAAATCGCTAGGATCAGTGAAGATCTTTGGATAGAGCTGAGATTTCCAAACAGTGTTCCTGTAGAGCAGACCCCGATAAGCATTTGAGAGGAGGCCAGGGATGGCAGACTTAACTTCATGGAAAGAAATCCATTCCAGTGTGTAGCCCCGGGAGACGGGGTTTCTTCAAGCATGCACACTGTATCAGCCTGGTTGTGGAATCTTCTGCAGCTTTGAGACAGTCAACATGGAAAAGGTTCTCTAGAAATGCATGTTGTTGTTTTTTGCCAACTCTTTCTCATTCTCATGTGCTGCTTTTGTGTCTCTAAACATGAGAGAGAACTACTCTCTCTGGTGAGTATCTCCTGTTGGCCTTTCATGCTTGCTTTTTCATTGCGTGCTTTTCAGGAGCACCTTCTGCCATTTCAGGCTCTGTTGTGAATATCTCACCCGTAGGAGGCCCACTTGGGAGTGGCCTTTTCACTAGTGGCCCCCAGATTGATACAATTCCCTTCTTCTAGAGTGGCACCCGCTTCCTTCTTCCCCAAAGTAGGAAGCCAGTTCTAGCTCTTCTCTACCTGGCCGAAGTAGGAGATGCTTCAGAAGACGCCAAACTGTATCACCTTTGCCTCTGCCAGGGGGATCCAATCAGAAACAGCTGCCTCCACTGTACAAAGCCGATTGGCTCGCAACCTTCCCCCAGTTCCAGTAGCCCATGGCAGCCATTTTGGAGTGGCGCTCACTCTCCAGTTGCAAGATCCTCCAAATGCCTTTCCGCTCTTTGAGATTATAGGGGACCCCCCCTGCTCTGCAGGCTGGGCAGCTGCTTTGGGGGGTGGGCGCTTGTGTTTTACCAGGCTAACTCCCAGGAGACTCTCTTCTAGGAAACTTCCTCTGGCTGTTTTTGTGGTGGTCTTGGTGTGTGTTGCACGTTTAGTCAGCTGCTTATTCTGGTGCCCTTTTTATAATTATTGGTGCTGATGAAACGGGTATACATATTGTTTAAAACGCCAAGAGGTGTAGGATTGGACAGAAGATGGCTGGAATGAATTAGGACGGCCCAGAAAGGCAGAGTGAGGAGACTCAGGGCATTTGGGGGGGGGGGTGTTGTCGTGTAACAAAGCCTTCTCTGTCTAGGGCTGCCAGGTCCCCCCGGGGGGCGGATTCCCCCCCGCTTTGGAGGCCCGATTTCCGCCACCACGGAATCGGGCCCCGGGGAAACCCCACCCCGGCGTGCACGTCAGCCGGAGGTGACGTGATGACACCGGGCACGCTGGGGGCGGGGCCACAGCCATTTGAGGGGGAAACTACGTTTTCCTCTCAAATGGCTGTGGCCCCGCCCCCAGTGTGCCCGGCGTCATCACGTCACATCCAGCTGACGTGCATGCGGCGTGCGTGCGCTTCGCGCGTGCACTGAAAACGCCGTACGGGAGCCGATTTATTTCCTTCATTTATACCCAGTGGCAAAGACGGGATTTTATGATCCCGTACAAGAACTGAAGAGCTCACAAAGTTCTCTCCTCAGATGCAACACCACTCATTTCAGGAGACCACACGTCAAGCTCTGTTTTGCAAGAGCCAGTCTGGTGTCGTGGTGAAGTACACGGACTCTAATCTGGGAGAACCGGGTTTGATTCCCCACTCCTCCACTTGCACCTGCTGGATGACCTTGGGCAAGCCATAGTTCTGGCACAGCTGTTCTTCGAAAAGACGGCTTCTGTCAGAGCTCTCTCAGCCCCACCCACCTCACAGGGTGTGGGGAGGGGAAGGGAAAGGAGTGTGTAAGCTGCTCTCAAACTCCTTTGAGTAGTGAAGGGCGGGGTATAAATCCCATCTCTTCTTCTTCGAGAGTGGTTTTTAAAAATGATGAGGGTCTGGGCATGCCTGAAATGTGAAGGCAGTACCAGTTGGGGGAATCTTGTCTTCCCATCATTCAAAGGCCTCTTGTTTGCTTTGGCGCGCAGCACGAGAGACTGCCGGTTCTAACTCTAGAGTGATTGTGTTGCAGGTTTCCAATTGTGGGTGAAGGCCTCTGTGCCTACATGAACGAAAGAACCCCCAGTTCAACGTGGTGTGATAGCAACCGACAGTGGATCTGCACCAAACCAGAAGACTCATTCTAGAACAATATATATGCATCCCCAAGCCCCAGTCAGCAGTTCTGAGCAAAGGACCCAGCCATGACACTGCTGACCCTTAAGGGATTTTACATGGGCCCCGGTCACACGGAAAAGTTGCCGCGGGAGAGGCACGGGAGTCCCGCGGATTATCCGGGTGCGATCTCACCCCAACATCTGGGAAGCGCAGTGCTCCCGTGGCGAACCCGTGGCTCCCCGCCGAAGGTGCGGAGTTAAAAACTAGTACCTACGAGGTACTAGTTTCTGGAAACCGCAGGCCAAGGGCAGGCATCTGATCGCGTTCCCGGTGGATTTACGTGGCATCCGGCGCCCGCCGCTGTTCGTCTCCGCAGGTTGCGCAACCGCGCCCAACAGCGCATGCGCACAAAGAGCGATTGCTAGTGCGATCGCGCAGCACGGCTTCTGTGCCGCGCTGCAGGATACCCGTCTGATTGGCATTTCCCCCGAACCATGGGACCTCAACAGGGACGTGTGCTCGGGCAGCCACCGTTAGTTTCCTCCGGGGCAATTAGCCACGCCTTCCCCCCCCTACATTAGCCCCCCCTGCCCCTCCCCCCCCCCCCGCAATATCTGGCCCATGTGATCGGGGCCATGTATCTTTTTTTCCTGTTTTTTTTCTTTTTTCTTTTTGGTGTGCGTGTGCACCTGGAAATCATGGCGACCTTTGGTGACTGACCCCCTACTGGGGTCCTGAAGGATATTCAGAGGTCACTGGATAAAGCCTGCCCCCACCTCCTGACAGCTGGCATTCCTTGGAAGTCTCCCATCCACGCACTTGTCGGAGTTGGCCCTACTTAGCTTCCGAGATATGATGAGATTGGGCTGAATTTTACATATATCTTGAAAGTCACACTGTTGAGTAAGATTGAGATTTTTATAACGGCTTCTAAGCCTGTGTTTGTACGCTAAATTCTTTAAGGTGTTGTATTCCACCCTAAACACACACACACACAACTGTAAACCTCTTCTTTGACCTCCTGACATCTAAGCAACTCTGTCTCAGTAAAAACCTGGCACCATGTTCTGTGCCAGGTTAGAGTGCTCAAGGGTAGTCTTCCTTTCTGTCTTTGTAGGAATACAGAATGCACTTTAAACAGAGCGTAGAATGCACTTTAAACGGGGTAGAGGGAATGATAACAAAGTCTGAGTCCAGTTGCACTTTTAAGAACAAAAAAGTTTTATTCAAAGTATGAGCTTTCGTGTGCATGGCACACTTCCTCAGATACATTGAAATAGTAGTTAGCCATACTGTCATGATCTGGGCTGTGCCACCAGAGGCTTACTAGGCCCAGGGAGCCTGGCTAGCAGTAGGTGAGGATGGGCCTACAACTCCCAGAAGCCCCTGAGAGGTTTTGGAGCCAAAATTGACCAATAGGGAAGAAGAGGGCTGGGGAACAAAAGGGCTGGTGCCAGAGCAGGTTGTTCTTTCTTCCCAGAGGGCAGAGCCAGAAGGAAGGCTGCTGCAGGGGAGAGACCCTCATCCTGAGGGAAGGGTGGGTAGTCTAAGGCCACTGCAGATAGTGAGCTAGGGACAGTATATATTTAGACGCGTTAGGGCATTTGATTTCTTTTCACCCACTTACTGTTATATTTCTGCACCTTGTTGTTTGACCTATAAAATAAACCTTTTCCTTGTTGTACTCTGCCTGGTCCTCACGCCTATTATTTGGCCAAAAGGGAGGTCTGAAGGTCTTGGGGGGGTACTCTGGGCCTTCTCAAGGGAACCTAAAACCAGAGTGGTGGCAGCGTTAGGTGACACCCCACCTGAGCCGCGACACATATATATGGGGAGACGGTGAACAGAAAACCAGAAGCACTTTCTGTTCAGTTGTGTCCAGTTGACCGGGCAGAGCTGACACTCAGAACTGTCTGTGTGGAGAAAGAGGGATTTCCCAACATCAGGTCATTGTAGCTCAGACTTGTTTCTCTCTCTTTTCCCATTTGCCCTGTTTTGCACATTCTCTCTCTTTTCCCATTTGCCCTGTTTTGCACATCAGACGTGTGACGCCGACACCCCTCATAAGTATAAAAGTGTGCCGTCAAAGAGAAGGAGTCTTGGATTAGAGGAAGCTGATCTGGGACCAAACGGGGCTTACAGGGGGGTCTCCTGCTCCCACTGCTAGGTAGTATTGCCCAGTTTGGCTTCCACTGAAACCTCACCTATAGCACCATATTTTGCCATCAAGTCAAGCTGGCGTCTGGCGACCCCTAGTGGGGCTGGAAGTCAAGGGACGTCCAGAGGTGGCTTGCCATCGCCTGCTTCTGCGTCATGACGCTGGAATTCCTTGGAGGTCTCCCACCCAAATACTTGCCAGGGCTGAGCCTGCTTAGATGCCGAGATCTGACGAGATAGGGCTAGCCGGGGCCGTCCAGGTCAAAGCCAGAGATAAACAGAGGTGGTTTGCCGCTGTCGGCTTCTGCGTCACAACCCTGGTATTCCTTGGAGGTCCTATAAGACTAAAAAAACCCTGTGCCTGCCCTTTCCTTATGATTCATAATATTACCAATAATTATCATGTCTCCACCCTACATTTTCTTTTTTTCTAAACACAATGAGATGAGACAACTCAAATCATACACAGTATTACAAACGCAGCTGCCGTATAGATTGGTGGAATGGCATTGCGATACAGGCTCCCCCCACCCACCCCTTCTTTTCCTAATAATTCCTTACACAGTTTGGCTTTCACTGAAACCTCACCTTCAGCACCATTTTAAAAGCTTTTTTTTGCCAATAAGTCAAGCTGACTTCTGGCGACCCCTATTGGGGCTGGAGGGCAAGGGACCTTCAGAGGTGGATCGCCACCGCCTGCTTGTGCGTCACGACCAGTGTTCCCTCTAAGCTGAGTGAGTGTGAGCTAGCTCACAGTTTTTTAGCCTCCGGCTCACACATTTTCATCTTGGCACAGGAAGGAGGGCTCCAGAGCAAACTAATTTATGCAGTAGCTAAATCGCTTGCTCACCACTTTAATGCCAGTCGCTCACAAAGTAGAATTTTTGCTCATAAGACTCCACAGCTTAGGGGGAACATTGGTCACGACCCTGGTATTCCTTGGAGGTCTCCCACCCAAATAGGAGCCCGGGCCGGCCCTGCTTAGCCTCCGAGATCTGACAAGATCGGACTTGCCTGGGGTACCCAGGTCAGGGCACCTACAGCACCATTTAAAATTAACCTCCAGTGTTGTTAATACCACCTTTTGCCTGCGTTGGCTGGCAGTCACAGCTAGAGGGAGCTGTTTGCTCAACTCTCGTGAGTCGTATCCATGAAGACTACAGATGATGCTGGCAACTACTGAAAGGAGAATATGTCTCTGCAATGTAAACTGAAATATTAAAACACTGTTGCATAACAGCTGTCCAAGACCTGTCCCAATTGTGCTCTGAGCAACTGCCCCCCCCTGCACAAACAGTCCTAAGGAAGAAAACCTGGGAAGGACACATTCTGCACCAGAAAACATACTTCCACTGAATGACTAGCCTGGCCCACCCAGGTCAGGACAGAGAGGAGCAGAGGTGGTTGGCCATTGCCTGCCTCTGCATAGCCACCCTGGGCTACCTTGGTGGTCTGACCCTGCTGAGCTTCCGAGGTCTGACAGGATCGTCCACACCAGCACCAATAGCCTGGCAGGAGCCCGGACTACGGGGGTAGGCAACCGCTTTAAATGCTAAGAGAACGATGCCATCTGCTATTAACATTTCTTTTGCATGTGTATGAGTCTATACAGGGGTCTTGTTGTAGAAAAAGAGCTGCCGGAGCTCATTAGCATAACTCATTAGCATAACTTATTTGCATATGCCACGCCCCCTGACATCACCGGAAGTGACAGAAGGCCACACCCCCTGACATCACCGGAAGTGTGTCAGAAGGCCCGGCTACTTACCCTCCTGCTTCATCCTCATTCCCAAACGGAATGAGGATCGAAGCAGAGGGCGGGGTAAAGAAGGGGCGGGGCTTCACCACGTGACCGCCCCACCCCCTAGAGGTTCTCTTCCGGAGCTCCATACCTGAGAGCTCCCCCCCGACTAGAGCCCTGAAGATAAATGAAATGAAGGGATCACTGCAAAAGCATCTTTATATGTTTGTGCATACCAACAGTATTACAGGGATCAGATGTGGAAGAAAAATCATACAGTCAAAATGGAAGCCGATGAAAATCATGCAAAACAATGCCAACGGGGGGGGGGGGACCAA